AGGAACATGGGCAATCTAGGGGGGTTGGGGGGAACATTTTAAAAACAAGGATTAAAATAAGTGGAATTTACATCATTCTGAGAGGAAAAATCCCGGAATTCCGGGAATCTAGGAATTCCCATGTCTGCAGTATACTTCTCAAATTAACGTTTTCATATGACTATAATTTATCTGCGTATGGTTAGTGGGTATTGCAACACAAAGACTTCTAATTGTGGGTGTTCTTTAACTTGTTTAGAGCAGTGTATATGGAAAGTTTTGGCACCTTGAACATGTTAAAATACTCTTTCATTTTTTATTACCAGTTTTATCAAACTGATGTCTTTAAAACTAGCATCAGATGGATTTAGCAAAAGTATATCAATGAACTGTTCCAACTGTATGAAGGCAAACTTGTCGTAAGAGGCGACAAATGGGATCGGGTGGTCACGCTTGCTGACTTCGTTGCTGCATGTCATCGATCCCAATTGCGTGGATCGATGCTCATGATGCCAATCACTGGATTGTCTGGCCCAGACTCGATTATTTACAGACCGCTGTCATATAGCTGGAATATTCCTGAGTGCGGGCGTAAAACAGCAAACCAAACGAAAAATCACTTCTAAAAATGCCTTTCAAAGATCTCCTCTGATTAGATTTTACGTACGCTTCATGTTTACAGCCAGGTCACATGAACATTGATCAGGAACAAGTACTAATGCACTCCTACCTCTACCAGTGTATGTCTTGTGAATCGTTAGCAGTGCAATCCATGTTAACTGTTACCAAAGCTCCTTGCACATGTTGTATTGTGTACCTGCCATTCAACTTTGCGACTTGGTAAATGTACACATGGAATTGACTCACTGAAAAGGAGCATGAGAAGGCTACAAGGTCTGTAATAAGCAGCTTGTATCCAGATGATGAAATATACCCCTCAACATTTGCCAAGGACCACATCTTTGACTGAAGATGACTATTCTGGTCCTTAGCAAATATTACTAGTCTAGCATACTGCTCAACATTGGCTAACATTTTAACCAACACTGCATAGACCATGTAGACCATCTTTACTCATGAGTGAAGTACTGGTATCAGACATGAGAACAACAAAACTGGTTTTTGGAGGAACATGGGCAATCTAGGGGGGTTGGGGGGAACATTTTAAAAACAAGGATTAAAATAAGTGGAATTTACATCATTCTGAGAGGAAAAATCCCGGAATTCCGGGAATCTAGGAATTCCCATGTCTGCAGTATACTTCTCAAATTAACGTTTTCATATGACTATAATTTATCTGCGTATGGTTAGTGGGTATTGCAACACAAAGACTTCTAATTGTGGGTGTTCTTTAACTTGTTTAGAGCAGTGTATATGGAAAGTTTTGGCACCTTGAACATGTTAAAATACTCTTTCATTTTTTATTACCAGTTTTATCAAACTGATGTCTTTAAAACTAGCATCAGATGGATTTAGCAAAAGTATATCAATGAACTGTTCCAACTGTATGAAGGCAAACTTGTCGTAAGAGGCGACAAATGGGATCGGGTGGTCACGCTTGCTGACTTCGTTGCTGCATGTCATCGATCCCAATTGCGTGGATCGATGCTCATGATGCCAATCACTGGATTGTCTGGCCCAGACTCGATTATTTACAGACCGCTGTCATATAGCTGGAATATTCCTGAGTGCGGGCGTAAAACAGCAAACCAAACGAAAAATCACTTCTAAAAATGCCTTTCAAAGATCTCCTCTGATTAGATTTTACGTACGCTTCATGTTTACAGCCAGGTCACATGAACATTGATCAGGAACAAGTACTAATGCACTCCTACCTCTACCAGTGTATGTCTTGTGAATCGTTAGCAGTGCAATCCATGTTAACTGTTACCAAAGCTCCTTGCACATGTTGTATTGTGTACCTGCCATTCAACTTTGCGACTTGGTAAATGTACACATGGAATTGACTCACTGAAAAGGAGCATGAGAAGGCTACAAGGTCTGTAATAAGCAGCTTGTATCCAGATGATGAAATATACCCCTCAACATTTGCCAAGGACCACATCTTTGACTGAAGATGACTATTCTGGTCCTTAGCAAATATTACTAGTCTAGCATACTGCTCAACATTGGCTAACATTTTAACCAACACTGCATAGACCATGTAGACCATCTTTACTCATGAGTGAAGTACTGGTATCAGACATGAGAACAACAAAACTGGTTTTTGGAGGAACATGGGCAATCTAGGGGGGTTGGGGGAACATTTTAAAAACAAGGATTAAAATAAGTGGAATTAACATCATTCTGAGAGGAAAAATCCCAGAATTCCGGGAATCGAGGAATTCCCATGTCTGCAGTATACTTCTCAAATTAACGTTTTCATATGACTATAATTTATCTGCGTATGGTTAGTGGGTATTGCAACACAAAGACTTCTAATTGTGGGTGTTCTTTAACTTGTTTAGAGCAGTGTATATGGAAAGTTTTGGCACCTTGAACATGTTAAAATACTCTTTCATTTTTTATTACCAGTTTTATCAAACTGATGTCTTTAAAACTAGCATCAGATGGATTTCGCAAAAGTATATCAATGAACTGTTCCAACTGTATGAAGGCAAACTTGTCGTAAGAGGCGACAAATGGGATCGGGTGGTCACGCTTGCTGACTTCGTTGCTGCATGTCATCGATCCCAATTGCGTGGATCGATGCCAATTGCGTGGATCGATGCTCATGATGCCAATCACTGGATTGTCTGGCCCAGACTCGATTATTTACAGACCGCTGTCATATAGCTGGAATATTGCTGAGTGCGGGCGTAAAACAGCAAACCAAACGAAAAATCACTTCTAAAAATGCCTTTCAAAGATCTCCTCTGATTTGATTTTACGTACGCTTCATGTTTACAGCCAGGTCACATGAACATTGATCAGGAACAAGTACTAATGCACTCCTACCTCTACCAGTGTATTTCTTGTGAATCGTTAGCAGTGCAATTCATGTTAACTGTTACCAAAGCTCCTTGCACATGTTGTATTGTGTACCTGCCATTCAACTTTGCGACTTGGTAAATGTACACATGGAATTGACTCACAGAACAGGAGCATGAGAAGGCTACAAGGTCTGTAATAAGCAGCTTGTATCCAGATGATGAAATATGCCCCTCAACATTTGCCAAGGACCACATCTTTGACTGAAGATGACTATTCTGGTCCTTAGCCAATGTTGAGCAGTATGCTAGACTACTAATATTTGCTAACATTTTAACCAACACTGCATAGACCATGTAGACCATCTTTACTCATGAGTGAAGTACTGGTATCAGACATGAGAACAACAAAACTGGTTTTTGGAGGAACATGGGCAATCTAGGGGGGTTGGGGGAACATTTTAAAAACAAGGATTAAAATAAGTGGAATTTACATCATTCTGAGAGGAAAAATCCCGGAATTCCGGGAATCTAGGAATTCCCATGTCTGCAGTATACTTCTCAAATTAACGTTTTCATATGACTATAATTTATCTGCGTATGGTTAGTGGGTATTGCAACACAAAGACTTCTAATTGTGGGTGTTCTTTAACTTGTTTAGAGCAGTGTATATGGAAAGTTTTGGCACCTTGAACATGTTAAAATACTCTTTCATTTTTTATTACCAGTTTTATCAAACTGATGTCTTTAAAACTAGCATCAGATGGATTTAGCAAAAGTATATCAATGAACTGTTCCAATTGTATGAAGGCAAACTCGTCATAAGAGGCGACAAATGGGATCCGGTGGTCACGCTTGCTGACTTGGTTGATACATGTCATCGCATGCCAATTGCGTGGATTGATGCTCATGATGACAATCACTGGACAGTCTGCACCAGACTCGATAATTTACAGACCGCCGTCATATAGCTGGAATATTGCTGAGTGCAGTTCTAAACAACAAACAAACAAAAGATATTGCCAGAGGTTTGATTATCCACAAAATGATGCCTAGTAGGATGTAAGTAATTCAAGACTTTGAAAATCAATATTCACCGATGTATGATTCCTCATGAATTTCCACCACGTGATACGAAACATCACACACTGTACATATATATATCTATATATCAATTCTGCATCAATTTTGAAAAAGAAAACAATTATGAAGTTTGCAATAACCCGATAACAACATGCTGTATCTGATCACATGATGTCATAAGAACTGCCATGCAAGATAAACACAACCTGGTTGGAAGCTACAACTCCTTGTTTGCAAAACCACATTGGTCATGTTAGGAGAAGTTCAATCATAAACCGTCGGCGCAAATTTAGTACCCTGATAGATGTTATGTCGTGAATTAAGTTTGGCGATACATATTAATACGAGAGGAGGGGTAACAATTATGGGCCATCTTCCCGAGGCACGAGAGTTAACTGACTATAAAAGTCTAGTTTCCACCCTTGCCGAACTAGGCTGGTATAATGGAGTTACATTTAGGCTGAACTAACGAGTCTATGCATAGTCCAATCAAAATCGCGCAACGAAATCGAAATCCGGTTCGTAAACTATCGTGCAGATTTCAGTTGATTGCAGGATTTGCAAAGCATGTGCACCGCTAACTCGTTGTCAACAGATATTTTCCAAATCGGTTCATGTTTTAAATCAAACTGCTCACGTGATTTGATGCACTTCGCGATGTAAGACCTGTCTTATCACAACATAGATCTTGATTATCAATCAGATCGTCTTAACTGGGTGCCGCCATTTTGTTTGAAACAAATGCAAGTGATATGAGAGGTGAAATATGATTGGTCCATGGGAGATGCTAAGGAGGGACATAACTCGTAATAGCCACTGGTGGCGCTACGATCGAGCGCAGGAATTCCAGCCTAGTTTGGCAAGGGTGGAAATTGGACTTTTAAAGTCGGTTAACTCTCTTGCCTCGAGAAGATGATTATGGGCATGAGACATTCAGGATTAGATAACTGAGTTTGTTGATGACATTTGTTGGGTCAACAATCAGGAAATAACCAGATAACAGGAGTATATTTTACTGAACATGACAACAAAGTCCTCAGTTAAATATTTAATTCGACTTTCATATTTACACTTGCAACAAGGTACCATCAGATGTGGTGACACAGGCAATGCTTGTCATTTGAAGGTCTTGATTTGACAATCAACCAGGTTTGCTGATTGCTGTTTACACAGGAGCTGGTTCCTCGCTATCAGTCACAAACATACCAAAGCTAGTAATAACATAACTGCCAAGAAATGAAATGAGGTTGCCCTCAAGTTTCACAATCTGACAGATTCATTATTTGGTAGACACCCGTGTCTTCTTGTTCCAAGAGAAGTTGGCACCGTAGGATTTTCTCTTGAAGGTGGGTAAGTGTTCTTCTTCAGTGAAATATTCCCACCCTTAAACAAAGAAACATGATGGATGAACATGACAGCGATACTTTGTATTGATAATTCAAAGTCAAGTTGTAAGAACAATTGAATGAGGGTGCCAACCCCAATCCCCCTTGAATCCTGAATACCATCTTATCTTTCACTCTGATTCTCATTGCAAACCCTAAATCCTGAAAACTACCTAACACAAATTTAAAAAACATTGAGAAAAGGGTGTGATTTGAAGTAAATTACTAATTTATTTTGATTTACACCATTAATATTTTTTAAATGTTAAATCTCCATACCAATTACAATTTTATTTGCATCCTGCATACCACACTTCAGAGCCTTGAATACCCTCTAAAAAGACCCCGAATCCTGCGTACAAAAGGTGAGTTGGCAGCTTCTTTAATAGGGGTACTGACCCGTGAAGATTTTAAAAGGCACTTATCTCATCTAGACCTGCACTCAAAATGAACACCCAATAGTAGAGCATGTTTATCATGCAACACAAGCACTTATCCATGACATAAACCTATGGAATAACATGTATGTCATACCTTAATGACATAAGTATGCAAATCCGATAACAAGAAACTGCACTTTTGTCACTGGTGCACATGAATTGGAGTTTAATGTTGACAACATTTCAATAGTAGATAATATGCCTATGACCAACTTCTCAATGAAAAAAGATGGATTACACTTTTGGCATGTCAAAATTTTGCAACCAATGGTTATCAGATATTGTATAGAGAAATTCAAACCATCCGCTGTCATGAAAAGCATGTCTAACTCAGCCAGGCTCTAGACCCTAAACTGACTAACAAATCACATGCTTAATACACAGCTTGTCCTAAATTTGAATGACATTAATGTTCCACCAAAACACTTGTCCCAATAATCTGTATTAATACTGATTAACTGAGACTCAGTTGATATTTCTCGAATTAATAAAACCATGTGATGATTCCTCCCTATATTCCCTGTTTAAGCAGGATCAACAGCATAGATGAAAATACACAAAATACACTCTCACCATTCTTCTCACAGAAGGACATGGCTTCTTCCTTTGAACTGAATTCTACATTCATTGTTGAGAGTGGGTCCGCTCTGTGGAAGAATAAAAACAACAACATATAATATACAAAAACAGGGCTAGGGTAAATATTTATGTTTTACTTTCATTTTCAAAATCCTGTTGACCATGTTGACGTGAAGAGCTAGTTGCATCTGACAAAAACCAGGTTCCAGAACTTATCAAAGCTGAAACATAGATGTCTAAATAAGTAAAAATCTCAGATCTCTGATGGCTGTCATGTGTCATGATTTACACAGAACACAGGGGTTAGTGATGTAGTATGGTATGTAAAGCTTGGAGCTGTGTCTGCGTGCACGTGGTGCATGTAATCAAACTGGATGTCGAGTGGATAGGGTTGGTTAGACAAAAATTTGAATTTTCTTTACATACATTCCTAAATACCATATATCATGATCCTGTATGTAACATCATATATCATGATCCTGCATGTAACATCATATACCATGATCCTGCATGTTACATCATATATCATGCTCTTGCATGTAACATCATATATCATGATCCTGCATGTAATATCATATATCATGATCCTGCATGTAACATCATATATTATGATCCTGCATGAAATGTCATATACCATGATCCTGCATGTAACATCATATATCATACGCTTGCATGTAACATCCTATATCATGATCCTGCATGTAACATCCTATATCATGATCCTGCATGTAACATCATTTATCATGATCCTGCATGTAACATCATATATCATGCTCTTGCATGTAACATCATATATCATGATCCTGCATGTAACATCATATATCATGATCCTGCATGTAACATCATATATCTAATCATGATCCTGCATGTAACATCATATATCATGCTCTTGCATGTAACATCATATATCATGATCCTGCATGTAACATCATATATCATGCTCTTGCATGTAACATCATATATCATGATCCTGCATGTAAGATCATATATCATGATCCTGCATGTAAGATCATATATCATGATCCTGCATGTAACGTCATATATCACGCTCCTGCATGTAACGTCATTTATCATGATCCTACATGTAACATCACATATCACGCTCCTGCATGTAACATCATATACATGTACCATGATCCTGCATGTAAAGTCACACATCACAATCCAATGTGTAACATATATGATAATGATCCTGCCTGTGACTACACATGTAATAATTGCCTCTAACCACATGCATATCATACTGAGGAGACTTCATATAGTAACATGTTTATCATTGAGCTGTTTAATGTCAATGCAGGTTTTAAAATAGCTAGTCAATCTGTGAAATCATTAAGTATACTTTCTTCTCCTAGTCATTGATCCTGATGAAGATGGAAGTAAGTTACTCACGTTGACACCCATCCCATGAGTGGGTTTTCCCATCTCTCCCTCTGATCAAACTCAATCCTCCACCTGCGAGTGCCATAGGATCCGGACTGCATAGCATTCCTTGCAGGTACAAAGATGCGCACTCGTCGCGTGGTGATGTGCTCCTCCGGGACGCCAGTGAGAGGTGTGATGTCAACCTGCATAAACATCATAAACACACATCATTGTCAGGTCTCTTGTATGTTCGGATAACATATTTCTAGGTTTAACATTTAAAAAGGAAGGAAAAAGAAAACGATTTATCCCAAACTCAATTTCAAATTACCGACTCTGCCATCCATTTGAGTCCACTATTATGACTCCACTTACTTGCAGGACCAGCTACAACACATTTTTTGGCCATCATTTTCAGTTGATTGTGTTTCTAAGGAAATATGACAAAACAATAAGGAAACATTTATAGGTGCAGCAGACTGATTTCTGTTTCAGTGGATTCAAACCTTACAGCCTCCACTACCCTCACTGAATAATAGTTTGTTTGTTGTTGAACGCCGCATTCAACAATATTCCAGCGATATAATGCCGGTCTGTAAACAATTGTCTGGTCCAAACTCGAATGTCATCGTGAGCATCGATCTTCGCAATTGGGATACAATGGCATGCATCAACCAAGTCAGCGAGTCTGACCACCCAAACGTTAGTCTCCTTTTACGGCAAGCATGGGTTGCTGAAGACCTATTCTACCCCGGGTCTTCACAGGTCCTGGACGATAGTCAGATGATCTTAGTGTTAGTTGTGTATTGACGTTAGCGTGTGATATTTTAGTTTCAATAATAATATTTATTTCTATGATCTTTGTGTCTATAACAAACACCTCCACACTGGTGTCAAGATATAGCTGTACACCCCTTGTACTTTGTAGTTATAGCATGGTCAGACTGACATAACTTTTCAGCCATCCCATGTACTTGTTCTAGCCATAAGTTTAAGAGGACAAGGTTACCATCGTTAAAGGCTCCATGTACAAAGTCATTTCAAGTTCAAACAGCTGCGAGCCAGAAGGATAGTATCATCTGACGATACAAACGATGTCTTTGGCCATGAATGCAGGCTACACTGTTACATCATTTGTTTGCTCGTTGTTGAATGCCACACTCCACAATATTTCGGTCATATGACAGCATCCTGTAAGTAATCGAGTCTGGATCAGACAATCCAGTGATTGATATCGTGAGCAATGATCATGGTACACTGACACCTGATCCATTTGGTTGTCTCTTATGTTTGTTTGTTGTTGAACGGCACACTCAGCAATATTACAGCTACATGATGGTGGTTTGTAAATAATGTAGTCTAGACCAGACAATCCAGTGATTGATATAATGAGCATTGATCTACCAAATTGGGATACCATGACATAAATCAACCAAGTTACAGAGCCTGACCATTTGATCCCCTTAGTCGTCTCTTACGACATGTATGGGGTGCTGACGGTCACTTAGAACCCAGATTTTCAAGGGTTGTTGTCTCTTATGACCATTTTAGGTTGCTTGGCACTTGTGGGACCTATTCTAGACCAGATTCCTTACTGGTTCCAAGAATAAGGTAAGGTGTTAAAGTCATAAAGTATTGAATCGCCTTCCCTAATCCATGATCAAACAAAAGTGAGCGGATAAGGTCAGTATTATCACAGGTCACTTGTCATGGCTGAGTCTTGACATTACCTTCTCACTGACAGTAATGGTCTGCACTTGATGTGACTGATCTTCATCTTGTTGACGGGGTTTTGCTGCTGTTGTCAAATTATCCCCTGGCCGACCGGAAGCGTAGTACCTGTGAGCATAGATATTGAAGTTTATTAGTCCTCATTTTCATTAGTAAACATTATCATGATTACGGACATAGGGCATTTAGCAAACACCTTTGTGTTATTATTTTGTTCCTTTTTGAGGTTGAGAAATTAAAAAAGTCAGTTTATTGTTCAGTAGAAACCAAAATAGGTTATGGTTCAAATGGTTTTATTCTTCATTGAACGCAATGTTTTCATGTGTTTCTAAGTTGGTCTTGAAGGTTATAAAGGACGGACCGTAAGCATTCTTCTGAAAACAAACACGTTATCTAATTCGCCATAGTGTTCTATATTACATCTGGACAGCTTTCGTGTGCGACACGTTCGCGTAGTGTATTCACAATATACCTTGGAATTATGCTCCTACTGGCTGTTGCTAGTCGACCAGCCACTCGCAATCCTAAAGAAGCAGCCATTTTGAATGTTTCTAAAGGGGTGTAACTCTTTACAAAACATAGCAACTGAGGCGCACGTAAAAGTATTCTCCTAACCCCCAAGTCGAAAGTTGGATAAATTGAGATATTGTCTCTAATTAAAAAACACATTTGCATAAAGTATTGAAAATATTTATCGCAAAGAGGAGTTCTGAAGAAACTGTAGGATTCCTGCAGATCATTCTTCTTATTCCGTGATAGACGATTTATGTCAAATGAATGATAGAGGCGGAAAGCTTATTAAAGGTGGGTATTTTAAACTGAAATATTAGAACTGCACGTTTTGAACCGCGTCGTTATTTAGCCCACGACCTTAAAAAACTGTAAAATAACACGCTTTTAGACCATGGGTTAAATCAAATTGAAAATTTTATTGATCTACCTTAGCGGATGTTCTTCAGCATGTGTTGTAGCACGCTTCTGTATGGCCAATCTGCACCAACATTGCTGTTAAAAGTTTCAACATTTACAATACACATTGGTCCCATAACATTGGTTATATTCTGGATACCCAGTGTGACGTTTTAGACGCATATTACAGACACGTAGATATTGATATAGGTTTGTTTGTTTGACTGTTTTTTCGTCATTTCAAATTTGAATGTGTTCTTGACTACGAAAGCCTATTGGGGCCAAAATTGAAATATGGAAAAGACACGAAAAGAAATTCGTTATAACGGAAGAAAGATTCGTTAGTACGGAAATAATGTCGTTATAACCGAAAAAAAGATTCGTTATTACGAAAAAAGAATCGTTAATACGAAAATAAATTCGTTGTAACGGAAAACGATTCGTTATTACGGAAATAATTTCGTTATAACGAATCTTTTTTTCGTAATAACGAAATTATTTCCGTATTCCGTAATAACGATTTTCTTTCCATAATAAAAAAAAATAAATTCCGTTATAACGAATTTACTTTCGTAATAGCGAATCTTCTTTTCGTAATAACGAATTTATCTTTCGTACTTGACTCATAATTAGAAAAAGAAAATCATGTCGTATGTTAGAATGTTGCTCTCTCATTCCATTTGTGAGTATTGTCCTTTATTTTGTTTTTAAGCCCGGGGCTTAAATTTGGATAAAAGGTTACTCAACTAAAATAGGTAAAATTCGTAAGTAAGCCCAGGGAATAAAAAAGGGACAGTCCCGGCATTTAGTGATACTGAAGTTCCATCCACTAATTTAGGTTACTATGGGTAATAAATGCCTACAAGCGACAATACCCTCTCCATTGCCAGAAGAAATATCTGTTGAAAGCAGAGTCCATACTACGATTCCGACTATGTCACAAGCACTGGTCAATGAATCACTATCAAATAGTGATGATACTATGGACGTTCGCGAAAAGGTGAACGTATCCTGCCCCACCGGTAGCATCCTACACAAACACACGCAAATGCAAGTCAAGTGTTCACCTGAACAAACGCGGGAGCATACAGTATGTGAAAATAGGGACTTGCATCGGACGTCATTCCCTGATGCGTGAAATTTGAAAATGTCCTCCACTTGTCTATCGTGTACGTTGCGAAAGCTTTACTGTAAAGGCTTTGAATGCTGTAACTCTGATAAAAAACCCTTTTGATCAAGCCCTGAGTCGTGTGACGCTCTTTGAATCTTGCCAACGAAACTTGCCACTGTCGATGAACCGGAGGAAACGGACGTTATATATAGAATTCTGATATCTACGCTATAAAAATCGTGGAATGGTCGGAATCAATCTCCCAATGACGAAATAAGGGAGTCTTGTTCACCCCTCTAGAAGTGCCTGGGGCCCGTTTCACAGAAGACGGTCGTAAGTCTATGTTAAAGTATGGGAGTTACGGTAGTTGTAGCGCTACGATCGCTTTGTGAAACGGGCCAGTTCGGCTAACGCCGCGGGTTACGTTTTGGCAGTCATAGTCAATTGATCCACTGTCGATGAACCGGAGGAAGCGGACGTTAAATATTGAATTCTGACATCTACGCCTTAAAACTTCGTTTTCGCGGCATGGCATGGTCCGAATCAATCCTCCAATGACAAAATGAGGGAGCCTTGTTCACTCCCCCTGAAGCGCCTGGCCAGTTCGGGTAACGCAGCGGGTGACCTTTGACGTCGTCCACTTCTTCCTGTCATGGGGGGGCACGGATGGCCCAGTCGTCTAAGGCGCCGTGATTCGCTGTGCAGAGTTGCGTCCCTTGGGTATGCCAGAAACCTATGATTGTGGGTTCGAATCCCGGTTCGCCCCAATTATGTTTCTAGGTTTGTCAGCACCATACCCGTGCTCGTGGGTTTCACCGAAGTGGTATACGTCTGAGACCTGCATCACTTCGGGCTTTCCTCCCACATTAAGCTGACACGCCGTGATATAAATGGAATACTGTTAAAAGCGGCGTTAAACCCAACTCACTCACTCACTCTTCCTGTCATGGCCCCGACGTGCTCTATGGGGGAATGGTCAGGACTTATGGACATTGTGGCGATGTTTTGTTGCTGGAGGTAGTCACTTACGATATGTGCACGATGGACAAAACGTGGATGACGCTCAAACTATTGGAGCCAGTATGTTGTCCCGGTAGTACTGACCAGTGACCCTTCCATTGACAATATGCAGTGGCGTTCTGGCAGTCATAGCCTATTGATCCCGCACCATATCATAACAGACCCACCCCAAAATCTGTCATGTTGCCTTACATTGACGATTCATGACGTTCGTTAGGACGCCCCCAAAATTACCAGAGTCATCTGGTAGCATTACAGGAGACCATCGGCGATTTCTCCCAGTTTCCACGCTCTAAACATCATTGGCGTATGGCTAGAATGAGTCGATTTGTTAACGGTGGTACAACACGTGGTGTGCAGAGTTGCGTCCCTTGGGCAAGCCAGAAACCTATGAATGTGGGTTCGAATCCCGGTTTGCCCCGATTATGTTTCTAGGTTTGTCAGCACCATACCCGTGCTCGTGGGTTTCAACGAAGTGGTAAACGTCTGAGACCTGCATCACTTCGGGCTATCCTGTCACAATAAGCTGACACGCCTCCATGGTGAAAATGGTATCAGTCCCATCGTCTCAGCTGTCCTACACATGGGACAATATGTTTCTGAATAAAATGCCTAGTCGACTCATTGTGTCCCTGGTTAAAGCCGATGGGGTTCGAGGATCCTACACAGTCAACCCTTTCTGTTTTGAAGGAGACATTGTCACTCACTCTTTCTTTAAAACACAGCTCATAATTTTGTGTGAATAAAAAACTTTAAAAAACAACAACCTCATCCTAAAAAACCCAGGTCTCTATACAGAATATTTCGTGAGCAAAGCCGTAATTGTTTACATCGATAGATGAGCATGAGACAGTATGCCTGTAACACATATTTATTAATAATCATTTCAAATCTTCCACTTCAAGATGCCATATCTTGCAAGTCACTGTGTTGTATCCTTGGACTCCACTTGTCCTACTGTGATATGACTGAAACAATTGCTGACTGTCATGTGAAATGCCCATTTATCATCATTTACCCTTACTTGGAACAAAATACCACATAACATCCTTTTTTTGGTCAAAAGACCCGAATTATTATTACAAGTTATTCCATGAATGAGAACAAAAAAGAATTGTGTCCGTAGTTTGGAGGATGGGGACAATTGTTCAGTATTCGATCCACCACTGAAATCAGCACATGGAACTCTTTTTAATCCTTCACAATGTCACAATTGTCAGTCAGTTGCCCCAACTCGACCATGAGAAAATGTGATACGTCTGATCACCAGAAATGGGATTCAATACCATTCTTCTCAGAGGGCCTGAGCTGACTGATCCTTGTTCTAAGGACGACCTGGTCGTGCTCTAACTTGACGGTCAAGGTGATCACACAAGAGTTGTTATGGTGATCAGTGTAGTGATTGTGCTGGCCAAGGCAAGATGTTGTATGGGGTGTTGTGTTGTCTTGTTGATACGGGGTCTGTCCTGTTCTGTTGCAAGAACGGTAGTACAACAGGGTAGAGAGATTGGTCAATGTAATGCTGCCCAGTGAGTGTTCCTTCTAAAACCACCACATCTGTCTTGACTTGGCTACATTTGCTGTATTTGCAAGACTAATGATTCCGCATTGCAGGACTCACGATGCCGCATTGACTTGGCCACAGATGCCGCCTTGTCAGAGCTAATGATGCCGCATTGACAGGGCTACAGATGCTGTCGCATCTACAAACGGTTCGACATCTTGAATACAACAGTGTTCTCCTTGTAGGAGGTTGACACAAATTCTTCCATCTGCCAGGGAAACCTTGAATCTGCTCTCTCCTATGAGGTGAGGTGAGGTGAGGTGAGGTGAGGTGAGGTGAGGTGAGGTGAGGTGAGGTGAGGTGAGGTGAAATGGGGTTTAACGTCGCGTCCAAGATTATTGCACTTATATAGCGACGTGCATGTACATGTGTGTGTTCGTGTGGCTGCTTGTATTAAAGCCGATTTATAGTGCTAGCTCACTGAGATACCATGCTGCAGTTTAACATGAATACCCCACTCAGACACAGTATACTGACTCCGAGCCGACCAGTCCTCATTTTAGCCCCTTAATGCCGAGCGCCAGACAGGCTAACAACAAGTTCTTTTCTATGAACGTGACTATGCCAGTTTCTTATCTACCAGCGTTGCAATGTCAGCGTTACATCTCGTAGTGGTCTGCAAGCCCTGATATTGTAACGACGCAGTCTTCTGGACACTGTCCAGCGACTGACAGTATGACTGTCCCAGCTGATGACGTCACAGTGATGATATCATTCCTCAGATGGAGGCTATGCATGAAAAGTTCCTTGATGATGGTGACAGGCCTCGATCAGACCATGCGCCTGGTGACTATCATTTGTGTACAGCCAAAACTCCTTGCAACGTGATCATGCATTGCCCCTTGATGTACATGTATCATACCAACAGCCTGTTCTTTCTGCTGTAGGGTTAATCTTAGCATGCTACTGTCCAACAGCTTGGAGGTGAATGAACAGGAAATCGTTCCATTTATACCAATAACTTTGTAGGTTGGCATGCTGTTAGTGCAGCCGAAGTTTCACTTCAAACACAAGTTCCATTGATCTGACCACTGTAGTACTTTCATTACACAGCACATTGTTTTGGTTGTGTTTGGGAGATTGATTCTCAACCAATGTGTAACACAATTCGGGGTTTGGATCCAACGTCTCCAAATTTCAGTTTGGTAACGTTGCTTCTATGCCATTCTTCTATTTTATGTCATGCTATTTATGTCCCCCATTCACAATCTTAGTACTTAGTGAGTGGGTGAGTGAGTATGGTTTTACGCCGCTTTTAGCAATATTCCAGCAACATCACGGCGGGGGACACCAGAAATGGGCTTCACACATTGTACCCATGTCGGGAATCGAACCGGGGTCTTGGGCGTGACGAGCGAACGCTTTCACCACTAGGCTACCCGACCGCCCCTAGTACTTAGTACCATGCCACGATCCAATGACCGGTGGTTCAAACGATTTGTAGTCTGTCAGTAAGCATATAGGTCCTGGTAGGCTTAACAAAGTGGCAAACGTCTGAGGCCTGCATCATTTGGGCTTTACTCTAACATTACGCTGACACGTAGTGCTATTACTAAAAAAATGTTCAGTGTCAAAAAACAAACTCGCGAGCCTGGTCACGTGGTGAGCTTGATTTTGATCCTTCGTACCTTCAGGGATATAGCCCAGGTAGTCTGTGATACGAACCTGTTCAAAGACAACTTAGCAGACATTATTTTGTTGAAGACTAACAAGCATCGAAACTTCATATATTTTAAATTAGATTCCCAGATTTTTATTAAGACAGTGGATTAGTGACAGGAATCCCCTCAAACGCGGTTTCTGATTTCTTTTACATAACATGCTAGCAAGCAGTAGAATATTATCCCTATGGGTGGTTCTACCCAACATGCCCAGGCTTCGCTCCCCAAAGCGATTCTTTTGTTACTACTGACGGAAGTCTATGTTAAAGTATGGGAGTTACGATCGTCTTTTTGGAATGCATGTATGTATGCACGTGTGTATGTGCGTGCGTAAATGTATGTGTGTGTGTGCGTGTGCGTGCGTGCGTGTGCGTGCGTGTGCATTTGTAGTTTCGATAGTAAAAGGTGAGGTGATTATTGCACGTATATAGCGACGTGAATGCACGTGTGTGTGGCTGCTTGTACTAGTCCGGACTGATGCCGATTTATAGCGCTAGGTCACTGAGATACCATGCCGCAGTTTAACATGAATACCCCTCTCAGACACAGTATACCGACTCCGAGCCGACCCGACCTTATTTTAGCCCCTTAATGCCGAGCGCCAGACAGGGTAACAACAAGTACCACCTTTGAACGCCTTTTGGTATGACGCGGCTGGGAATCAAACCCCGGACCTTCCCCTCTAAGGGCGGACTCTCTACCACTGGACCACGGAGGCGGTCCGATAGTAAAAAACTTGTCACTGAAAAACAACAATACAACCTGACCATACAGTGAATAATTTATTAATAGTTATGAAGATAAATAAACATTTTGAATTTCTTTCAAGATTGAAATAGATGAATGTATGTCATTTATTATGAATCGATTTACAATGCATATGTACATATATTCGAAACATAACGACGTATAGTTATGAACACGCCGCGCTCATGCTTAGTTCATGTACTCAGTGATGAAATGACACTCTAGCTGTGTCAATGAGTATACGAGGTCATTTTCGGTCAATTCCCAGTGTCAGTTCGCTTCAACAGGTCATTCCGTCTGAAACGAGGGTGATGAACAGTGTAGCAATCTGACACGATGGCAGGAATGTCCTTGACACGAAGGTCAGCAGTGTTACAGCTACCAGTATATAAAATCGAACCTTCTGCAGTCAAACCAGTGGCTGACAACATGAGCACATATCCACGTGCCGGTTCTAATTCTGGGTACAGCCATTATTCCGCTTGGGAATCCCGACGGGTGCCGTCTGAGGTGAAAAGATGCTGAAGCGCGACCAGGTTTTCTTGCCTTAGCAGTCATAACCTTGTCTGCAACGCTGCCCGTAGGAGTTTGGCTGGAGTGTAGGAGATAGGGTTGGAACAGAATAATAAACCACGAAGCCCTCATTAGAAGTGTGACGTAAAAACAATCTTGTTAATCAAACCCAGGCCCCAACAGCTACAACATGTACAAGTAAATTAGTCTGGGATTTTTATATAAATTGCCGGGCAGCCATGTTATAGTGTGTCAGAAAGTAATGTGATCAAAGTATATTCACTGCCGGGCAAGAGACAGTATACACTAATGTTTGATGGTGGTTAAGAATGAAACAAATAAGAAATGGTTATTCGGTGATGATCTATACGAGTATCAAAGCTACGTTTTAGACCTCAAGTTTGCAGTGTTTCGGCGACTGTTTTCAGTCTAGTAACTTTTTGATAACGTTTGAAATGTTTCGTATTATAGGCAAAAGTTGACGGATGACAAAGTAGACACAATTTATGGATAACAATTTTTTTATTTACTGTTAAGGCGACGTTTCTGTATAAATCCTTATACCGTTGTCAAGTTGTTATCCATAAATTGAGTCTACTTTGTTTGAAATGTTTTGGTAAAATCCAATTTTCAAGTGCATACTTTCTTTTGGCCGGCAGTTTAAAATGCACGACTATGCGTGTTCATAATATAATCTTAGCTTTGGAAGAAATAAATACAACAATAACTTTCAACATTGAAATATTGTTATCTGCGTACTAGATAAACATGTCATGGCATCCGCACTGCACTGCGGCATCCGGAATGCCACTCAATGTGGTGATGTCAAAAGGCAGACGTACATGATCTTCAGACGCGCGCGATGTACATAACATCCCCTGGCCACGTCAGCAGGACAATGTGACCGCCTCATCCAGGAGAGATGGCTGCAGCAGGGAATGTATGACGTGACTGGTTGTATTGAAAACGGGATTACGTCAACGCGAACAGTCAGTGTAGGTCAAGGTTGACGTATGAGTGTTGGCGTGTTAAGATAACAAGAACGTACAGAAATACTACTGTCTGCATGACAAACCGCAATACAATGGACATGATATCGCGCTTTTTTTCTAAATGTGTTTCAGTTCTATTATGAAAGAGACATTTCTACGGTTATTCCATAGTTATTCGCCAATCGTAATTTCGCCCGTTTTGGGCTTGCTTCAATAAAATATGGAATTAAATTACACCTCAAATAAACATGCGAGCTAATATTATTCTTTGTGACATTGGCTACTCTATGCATCCGTGATACATACAAAGGTAAGTGATCTGAAACACCACAGGCATAAAAACATACCCAAATCGCCCAAATTCGAAAGCAAATGGTATTCCATTAGATACCAAGGCAGTCAACCAAGAGTATGTACAAATCTGTGTATTCCAACACACAGGCGGATATTTCCTTGGATAAATAAAATAAATCCATACACTTCTTCGTTAGAGACCCAGAGGCGTGGATCTGTCTATCAGAAGACTTTATGCAGACGGTCTATGGAGTGATGCGTACATGGTGCCGTTCGTTGACCGAAACAGAACTCATGGTGACATCCACAACACGGCCATGGCGTCAGAGGTGGCGTCTTATTGCACTTGCCCGTCCATCATCACGGTATACACGTCACTCGATCATGGCGCCGTCATAACAACAGGCCAACTCAGACTGAAATCATGTGGACTCATGTGTCTGCAAGAAAAGAGAGAATCATGTTGATGCGAGTGGATTACCGTGGAAGGTATGTGTCCATTTTAGGATGAGAGGTGAACGCTTTACAGAACTTTTAAATCAAGCAGCAAAAACCGCTGACCCACCTGAATTACAATGCAACAAAGCATTGCTATTTAGTAATGTCTTTTGAATACATACAGTCGCAATCACCCGGATTGGTGTCCTGATTAACGGGGTCCGGATTATCAAGGTTTCACTTTACCTCGAACTATATACACCTAGGACCGCCTCCATGGTCTAGTGGTAGAGAGTCCACCCGGAGAGCGGAAGGTCCGGGGTACGATCCCCGGCCGCGTCTTATCTAAAGACGTTTAAAGATGGTTCATGTACTTGTTGTTAGCCTGTATGGCGCTCGGCATTAAGGGGCTAAAACAAGAACTGGTCGGCTCGGAGTCAGTATACTGTGTCTGAGTGGGGTATTCATGTTAAACTGCGGCATGGTATCTCAGTGAGCTAGCACTATAAATCGGCATCAGTCCGGACTAGTACAAGCAGCCACACAAACACAGATATGTACGTCGCTATATAAATGCAATAATGTTGGACGCGACGTTAAACCCCATTTCACCTCACCTCACCTCCTGGTATACAGACACGCATCATCTGCATGGTCACCGGACATCGACATGCCCGACTTTCATTAGCCTATTTTGACCAGGTCGTTTTAAGGTTCTATACATATAAATCTATGAACCATACAATGTATGAGAACGACATTTTGAATCAGTTTTGAAAAGCGTCCACTTGTACTGAACATGAGTGTTTGTGTTGGCGTCGAGTGTTACTGCAGCTTCTCGATATACTATACTGAACCGCAAAAGAAACCTCACTATGGACAGATATATAAGAAACCGTATTTGTCCAAACACTGTAAACATACTTTGAGACATATCAAAAAGATGCAACTTGGTAAAACTGATCTTTAAGGTTGATATTAAAGTGTCAAATGTTCTTAAAGTGAAAATGGCATCACAAGTCAGTATCTCGTGTGTCGGCCATGTGCATTGATGACTGCCGTGCAACGTCGATACATGGGATGGGTGAGGCGGTTGATGAAGGCCATATACACTTGAGTACACACTCTGAGGAACGCCTGACGCAGTTCAGCTGCGGTTGTCGGCCTTGGTCGGACGTCTTCAGCCGTCTTTAATCTCGTCCCACAGGTGCTCAGTGGGATTTAAATCGGGACTGAGGGCAGGCCACTGCGTGGTTCTGATGCCATTCTGCTGGAGGAAGCCTCTTGCTGCTCTCGCAGTGTGGGCATGGGCGTTATCATGCTGAAACTCGTGGTTGCGTCGGCGTGCCAAATGAGGTAAGGCGTGTGGCCTCAAGACTTGATCAATGTACCGAACTGCAGTGACACCATTCCCTCTCCCTTCCAATGTTTTGGAAGACCACAGGGCCGACCCTCTGTGCAAGACTAATTCCACCCCACACCATGATGCTCGGACCACCCCACGAGTCTCTCTCAACAATACAAGCATCCGAATAACATTCCCCACAGCGTCGCCAGACTCTCTCTCTCTCTCTGCCATCTGCTGTTGAGATACAGTAACGGCTCTCGTCTGAGAAGAGGTCTCTTCTCCACTGCTGGGTTGCCCAGTGAAGACGGTCCCGGCGATGACGTGGTGTCAGAATGGGTCCTCGGTGTGGCCTGTGACAGTGGAGGTGTCTGTTCGTCTATCGTCGACGCACGGTGTCAGCACTAATGTGTCGCTGGTGTATCCCCATGGTCTGTCGAGCAGTTTCCGCAGCAGTAACAAAGCGATCTTGCCGATGCTGTCGCGCAATCTGACGATCATGACGTCGGGTGGTAACCCTTGGTCTTCCACTACGTGGTCGGTCACCTGTAGTGTTGGTGGTCTGGTACCGTTGCTGGAGCCTGTATATGGTCCTTACGTGGACTTGAAATGCATTGGCTACTTGCCGGGCGGTTTGTCCAGCTAACAATCGTCCAAGGGCTTGGTGTCGCTGATTTCTTGTCAATCTTGTGGTAGCAATTTAATAACGAATGAATATTATCCGTTCTGGGTGGATTTTAAAAGGGCAAGAAATGGGGGAACGCTTGTGCATTTCAATTTGCACGGAACTCACGTGCATCGGGTTACCATGGCCGTTGCCGTGATGCGTTTCGGCGATCGGTTTTATTGTCATCTGCTTTGGTTTTTTTATCAAATTTTTGACAAATTTAACTTTGACAAATATTACCCAGATATATAAATGACAACTTTTCATGCAATGTTACTCAGGGTGACGTTTCTTTTGCGGTTCAGTATACTTTGTAAGTAGTCAACGTGTGTGAAATTATATATTAAGTAATGTTTTGTTTTAAATTTTAAATATATTGAACTGTGCACTCGAATATTAAGTACTTTTAGTTCAGTGCTCCGAGTGACATCATATTGATTGACACATTTCCAAACTGACGATTCCTACTGCTTGACACATTTCTAAATTAACGAAATCATACGGCATGACACATTTCCAAACTAACGATTCATACGGCTCAGCATTTTCCAAATGAACGAAATCATACGGATTGACACATTTCCAAATGAACGAAATCATACGGATTGACACATTTCCAAATGAACGAAATCATACGGATTGACACATTTCCAAATTAACTAAATGTTCCTAACAAATAGTCCAAACTTGATTTCAAAATTTCTAGAATTTATGAGAGAATGTTACGACATTTCAGTATTAAAACAATAAAATAATTGCGTCCTTGCTCACAGAAAGCTGAGATGACCCCACAAACCTTTACATCTCCCATAATGCGCTGTCTTGATGACCACCCCGGTGCGGCATGCGTGTCTCTGCATCTGGCAATAACTTGAATAGGTGTGGCCGTCGCTGCCACACACGAAGATGTTCTCTTCCGCCTCGGATAATATAGAACAAGCGTCCTTGCAGTTGACGCACTGGGGCAGGCCGGAAGTATAGTTCATCAGACACCGTCGGTCATCCGGGCACTTCAGGGTCTCGCAGGTCAACCCACCTGACAACATAGAACAACGAGTCAACCAACCTGTCAACATAGAACAACGAGTCAACCTACCTGATCACAGAACAGGGAAAGAGTGAGTTGGATTTAATGCCATGAAACATAAATCAAAATGTTAATACGGCCCAAAGACAGTATTCATTGCAACTGAAGGGAAATAAAAAAAAACCAGGAAGTAAATTGCATGTAAAGTTAATATGAAAATGATAGCATACCCTATTTCCTCTGTAAGGGGAAAGACTCACTAAATCCTATTATTACCGAATAATTACATGGCCTGCTTAACAACCCCCGGGTTGAAAGAGTAAAGTGAACTATCTCTTTATATCACCGATAAATAGAAACGTGAGATCCCGAAAGAGTTGAAGTATTTGGCGTCGGAACACCCAAGGTATTTAAACGCCATGATAAAACTTTATATATCCCTACAAAACGTAGATTTACGGCAGTCGCAAGGCTACGGAGGTTTGTGGAACGTGGCCCTGGACAATAAATCCAGGTCTGACACAGGTGAGGTGAAATTGGGTTTAACGTTGCGTTCAAGATTATTGCACTCAAATAGCGACGTGTATGCACGTGTGTGTGTGCGCGCGCGTGCGCACGCGTGTTTGTGACTGTTTGTACTAATGCGTACTAATGTCGATTTTATAGTGCTAGCCCACTGAGATACCATGCTACAGTTTTACATGAATATCCCACTCAGACACAGTATACTGACTCCCAGCTGACCAGTCCTTATTTTAGCCCCTTAATGCAAAGCGCCAGACAGGGTAACAACAAGTACGTCTTTGAACGTCTTTTGGTATGACGCATACCCCCGACCTACCACTAGACCACATAGGCGGTCAAGTCAGGGTGAATGAAAATGCCTTTTTAGAAGATAAATGGTATTTATTTGCAATTTATTGCGTAAAGCTGCGACTGTAAAGTGTAGAAGATTCATATAGAGCGTATTCTTGAAAATATAATATGATTCGAGAATTGTAGTTTTTCTATTTACCAATGCATGGCCCTGTGTATGCAACTCGAATTGCCGCCCCTTTCATACATATGGCTGCCACCAGATGGCACTGGCTGGAGTAAGTGACACCGTCTTCACCGCACAAGCTGTAGAAGGGGACGTTGGAACAGTAGGTGTTGCAGGGCACGCAGTGGGGTAGGCCGTGCTGATCCTGAAGACAGTGATGTCCACGTCTGAAGCACTTGACGCCGCGACACGAGTCTGGGACAAACACGGAGTAACCCCATTCAGGGATAAGAACACAGGAGATAACAATTTCCTCTGTCATGCCCTTTGGAAAATTCATTTTTGTTTTGTTTTGTTCTTGAAACCAAAATAGAGAAGTACTTGTTATGTTTTGGAAGTGTTTTCCTAAATATATTCTATTAAAGGAGTCACAGGGTAAAACAAGTTAAAACAATTTCATAATTCCAGAATGTCCGATAAGCGTTTTCTAAAGCTGATTTCACCGAAACCTGTACCTGTCGTACGAGGAGACCGAATAGGTCGCCTGGTTAAGGTGTGTCATCGTACTCATTACATCAATCACTGGTTGGTGTGTTAAAGACGCTATTATTTTCAGACCGTCATCATGTAGCTGGAATATTACTGACTGCGGCGTTAAAAAACAAACAAACAATGCGTAAATTGTTCCCAAGACTAAGACGGACACATAGTTTTCATGGCAATGTCAGTTCTCGATCTTGGAAAGGCAATGTGAAATGTTCGCGCTAATACAATGATGCTATGTTTTCACGTGTTACCACCGACACCGATACAAAATGATATGTTATTTGTAAGATCATTCCATATATATAGACGTGATACCCAAGAGTTATTATCTGTTGGGAAATATACAGCCGCTTTAATCAATGTTGATTTTGCACTCACTAAAAAAATGTTTTATATTGCTTTTTTTTAATTTGATGCATATCTCTGTCGGCATCTTCCTAATTGCACCTTATTGTGGCATGATTGTTATTTGTTTGCTTCATAACAACGGTGTAAGGTGCAGTTGAATTAACACCAGACATGCCACTTCGAGGCATCCGCGTTGGAAATAACACTAACCACTGAACAATGGGTAAGGGAAACATAAACTGCAAGAAAGAAAGTAGACATTTGAAAATTGGTTTAAACCTTAAAACAGGATGAAAACAGTCGCCGAAACACTGCAAACGTAACAATAATAACCGTATCAAATACATCACTATCGAATAAAATATGGGTGTATACTTTCCTTTTCCCGGCAGTGTATATACAGTAAACTACGTTTATAACGAACACACTAAAACCGAACTTCGGTTATAACGAACTGCAATTAGTGGTCCCTTTAAGTTCGTTATAACCGTAGTTTACTGTACTTCGTTCACATTACTTTCTGAAACAACAACATTTGTCTACCTTTACAATGTCCCAGGTACGCAGGCTTCACCTCTCTGTTGTGCTTGCAGTTGTGGCGAAGCATGGCACAGTAGTGCTTGTAAGTTTTCTGATCAGAGCCACACAGAACTCCCATCATCTTCAGGTAACGAGGACACTGTGGGGAGCACACACATCTTGCTTGTCCGTGCCTCACTCGACACTTCCGGTCAGCACCACACCTCACTTTGTCACACGTTTCTGGAGAGGGATTAAATTTTGTTTTCATGAATTATTTAAGTAGTAAAATGTTATTATATCCTCCTCCCCAAACACGATATACTTATTTTTGGATCCCAGATTTATTATCGTAAGTTCCAAAACTGATGATGCACGAAAAACATGCATACAAATTCCCCAACGTGACAAAAAAGTTCATTGTACAACAACAGGACAAGGAGCTGCTCAACTTTTCTGTTTGTTTATTTCTTTGTTGAAATAAGCCATAGCGTCCCCTAAAAAGACAATGGACCCGTGAAGATCCGTGAAAAATAGGTCTTCAGCAACCCATGCTTGCCGTAAAAGGCAACTATGCTTGTCGTAAGAGGCGACTAACGGGATCGGTTGGTTAGGCTCGCTGACTTGGTGGATGCATGTCATCGTTTCCCAATTGTGTGGATCGATGCTCATGATGTCATTCACTGGATTGTCTGGTCCAGACTCGATTATTTTTAGACCGCCGTCATATTGCTGAGTGCGGCGTTAATATAAACAACAACGTTGTAATGTAATCAACGTCACTGAGGCGGCTCAAGCCACAGCTGGGTCGGCTACTGGTGGGCAAGACATCTATAACAGTGGTGATTCAGTACAGTTGTCAATGAAGTTTCATTTCAAGACGAACTTGTCTGCTCTTCGAAAGACCCTGCACAGGACGTCAAAGGGTGGCAATGGAGAAAAGGCCGTTACTTGCCTCCGCTCGCCCGTTGAAACAGTTTTACTCGAGATCTTTCGAGAATGATCTCCAAAAGGTGACATGGAACAGGATTCCTTCACGGATAGTCCTGAAGTTAAACCAGCAAAATGTTTTGTAAACCAGCAACGCCAGCAACACCATTAGCACCTCTCACCAATAGCAGCATCAGCAGCACCAACACCAAAACCAGAAGCAACATCAGCAAAACCCGCAGCACAGTAACGTCAGCAACACCAGCAGCACCTCTCACCAATAGCAGCATCACCAGCATCACCAGCAACATTAGCAGCTTCATCAAAACCAGAAGCATCAGCAACCTCAGCACCATCAGCAAAACCAACAGCACAGTAACGTCAGCAACACCAGCAGCACCTCTCACCAATAGTAGCATCAGCAGCAGTAGCAGCACCATCAACATTAGCAACATCAGCAAAACCAGAAGCAACAGCAATCTCAGCACCATCAGCAAATCAGCAACACCAGTAACATCAACAACAACATTAGCAACATCAACAACGCCCGCAACGCCAGCAACGCCAGCAGCACCAGCAACACAAGCAACATTAGCAACATCATCAAAACCAGCAACATCGGCAACGCCAGCACCATCAGCAACATCAGCAGCATCGGCAACACCAGCCAAACTATTAGCACCAGCAACATCATTGACATCAGCAATGCCAGCAACTCCAGAGCACCAGTAACATCAGAAGAACCAGCAAGGGATGCTTTGGGCAAGTTAGTATTGCAACTGAAGGGTCAACGTTTGTTTAAGATCCTGCCTAGACTGCACCGATGGGAGGATTCGTTTCCGGAGAAACAACACAGAATGATACGCCAACTGTTCCACTATGATGAAGTAAAATCCTTTAGGATGTGTCTGTGACCCCGAGCTCACGTTCACCCCCAGACTCACCTTTCACCGTCAGATGATGACTGCTGTGGAATGAGTGCGACAGATCTCCTGACCCGTGCATGGTCAGCACGGTGTCAGGGCTATCCTCATCCGTGTCATTGTACAGTCACTGTCACATGGAAGTATTTGGATGCATCATTTGCGCGGTGAAACTTGCGTTGATAGTTAGACCGTCCACAAAATTATCTCACTTAATTGTGAGGAGTAACTCTCGTCATAAATAAAACTCGAAAACCGCATCATTAATAATATAATAGACACCACGGAGTGGGATTCGTGCTTATACGCCCTGTGACCCAGTCCTTATACTCCCTGTGGACCTGTCCTTATACTCCCTGTGACCCAGTCCTTATACTCCATGTAACCAACTCCTTAAACTCCCTGTAACCCAGTCCTTTTACTCCCTGTGACCCAGTCCTTATACTCCCTGCAACCCACTCCTTATACTCCCTGCAACCAACTCCTTATACTCCCTGTGACCTAGTCCTTATACTCCCTGTGACCCAGTCATTAAACTCCATGCAACCAACTCCTTAAACTCCCTGTGACCTAGTCCTTATACTTCATGTGACCCAGTCATTAAACTTCATGTAACCAACTCCTTAAACTCCCTATAACCTAGTCCTTATACTTCCTGTGACCCAGTCATTAAGCTCCATGTAACCAACTCCTTAAACTCCCTGTAACCCAGTACTTATACTCCCTGTAACCCAGTCCCTATACTCCCTGTGGCCCAGTCCTTATAATCCCTGTGACCCGGTCGATATACTCCCTGTAATCCACTCCTTATACTCATTGTAACCCAGTCCTTATACTCCCTGTGGCCCAGTCGATATACTCCCTGTAACCAAGTACTTATACTCCCTGTAACCCAGTACTTATACTCCCTGTAACCCATTCCTTATTCTCCATGTAACCAACTCCTTATACTCCCTGTGACCCAGTCGATATACTCCCTGTAACCCAGTACTTATACTCCCTGTAACCCAGTCCTTATACTCCCTGTGGCCCAGTCCTTATACTCCCTGTGACCCAGTCGATATACTCCCTGTAACTCAGTCTTTATACTCCCTGTAACCCAGTCATTATGCTCCCTGTGGCCCAGTCCTTAAACTCCCTGTGGCCTAGTCGATATACTCCCTGTAACCCAGTACTTATACTCCCTGTAACCCAGTCCTTATACTCCCTGTGACCCAGTCCTTATACTCCCTGCAACCCACTCCTTATACTCCCTTTGACCCAGTCGATATACTCCCCGTAACCCAGTACTTATACTCCCTGTTACCCAGTCCTTTTACTCCCTGTGACCAAGTCCTTATATTCCCTGTGACCCAGTCGATATACTCCCTGTAACCCAGTTCTTATACTCCCTGTAACCCAGTCCTTATACTCCCTGTGGCCCAGTCCTTATACTCCCTGTGACCCAGTCGATATACTCCCTGTGGCCCAGTCCTTATACTCCCTGTGACCCAGTCGATATACTCCCTGTAACCCAGTACTTATACTCCATGCAACCCACTCCTTATACTCCCTGTAACCCAGTACTTATACTCCCTGTAAACCAGTACTTATACTCCCTGTAACCCAGTCCTTATACTCCCTGTGACCTTGTCTTTGTACTTACTGTGACAGACATGGCACTGTGTCGCTCCCCCTGTGAACAGCATTGTGTGGGTGTGAGATGCCACGTCGCGGGGGGTCCAGCTGATGGCAACCGCTGGTATGGTGAGGCTGCAGCACTGGTCACGTGATATGTTGACACTGTACATCTGTCTGCACCGTCCATTCCTGCTCCTGGACAACCAGCAGATGCCGCCTGGAGGCAGAGATCACAGTTGGTATAGCTTCATTGAGATCATAGTATAGGTTCACTGAGATCATAGTATAGCTTCATTGAGATCAAAGCATAGCTTCACTGAGATCATAGCATAGCTTCCCTGAGATCATAGCTGGTATAGCTTCATTGAGATCATAGCACAGCTTCATTGAGATCATAGCATAGCTTCATTGAGATCATAGCTGGTATAGCTTCATTGAGATCATAGCATAGCTTCATTGAGATCATAGCTGGTATAGCTTCATTGAGATCATAGCATAGCTTCACTGATATCATAGCATAGCTTCACTGAGATCATAGCATAGCTTCCCTAAGATCATAGCATAGCTTCACTGAGATCATAGCTGAGATCACTGAGATCCTTGACGTGAGAGGCTACTAATGGGATCGGGTGATCAGGCTCGCTGACTTGGTTGATGCACGTCACGGTATCACACTGCGTGGATCGATGCTCATTATCACAATCACTGGATTGTCTGGTGCAGACTCGATTATTTACAGACCGCCGTCATACAGCTGTAATATTGCTGAGTGCGGCGTTAAACAACAAACAAACAAACAAACATAACATGGGTAATAAATAAAATACCACACTCATTCCCGTTAGATAAAATTTTTACGAAACTATATACACTTTTCAAAAAAAGAAACGCACAGGGTGATTTTTAGTAAATTTATGGTACCTAATAAAGTCGATATATTTAATTTAATATCATAGAAACAAATATGAAATTTTGGAGCTCGATAGTCACATGTTGTCGTTGTACAAAGGCATTAAAAACTGTTCATTATCATGTCACTTTAGGCCACAAGGTTGCGCTGAACTCAGTATCTCGTGTGACCGCCCCGGGCAGCAATCACGGCTCCGCATCTCCTCGGCACTTACTGGATAAGTGTACGAATTCTGTCCTGCGGAATTCTGCACCATTCTGCTTGTAACGCGTTGGCAAGTTGTGGGAGTGTCTGCGGTGTGTTCTGACGTTGACGTACACGTCGATTGAGTTCATCCCAGAGGTGTTCGATTGGATTGAGATCTGTATGTTGATGTTGGCATTATGAAGGTAGTCTACCGTGACACGAGCTGGGTGCGGTGGATCGTTGTCCTGTTGTAACAGCTCCCTCTGGCGGTCAATGATTGGAAGATGGTGAGGTTGAAGATTTTGATTCATGTAGCGATTTGCTGTCAAATTTCCCTGAACCACAAGTCCGATCTCCTGGTGTAAGATATGGGTCGGTCGGTTCTCGAACGGTCTCCAGTGGAATTGGACTGTGTGTATCGGCCCCAAAGGCGGCAAATGGTGCTGTGGTGGACGTTGAAGTGGCATGCAACAGAAGACTGCGATTTCCCTCTTTGGATACGTCCTATATTCCGATCGGCAGCGCTGAGTCTCGGTATTTTCGAACTTAAAAAATGTTGACAACTGAATGACAAATTATTGGCTTCTGCTTGCCTATTTATAGCCACTACCGCGTGTTACGAAGGCCATAACTTGCACGTGCATTTTGCTTTACTGTTTTCCTCCATGACATTTTTGAACAAGTGAAATCAATGCCGTTTAAGACATTGCAAATCGACAATGGCTGCGTTTGGACGCACGGTTTGTCGAATATCAGGCCACCAACATTTTCCAATAACATATATCCAATTTATATACAGGATCTTTTGTGTAGTCAGGTTTAATGAACCACATACTACCTGTGCTTTTCTCTTCTTTGAAGAGTATATCCGTTTAAATGAGATATATATATCCGGGTCAGTACACACGCACTCTTTCTCTTAAGGTCAAATCGAGCCAGACATGACGGCAAGCAAGTCCCGTTATAACCTTCTAAGGCTAACTACATACAGAATCAGCATCAGACAACATGAAGAGCTGAAGACCTTCATGTAAATAACGCCACTTAGTATACGCTACTGATCATCCGATGGCAGATGACAAGACAATCGACTGGATAGTTCAGATGGCGTACATAGCAGACCCACGTACATGGGGAGGCTTTAAGACTCGTCTGAAGTTGACTGCCGTCGCCGCACTTTGTTTTTGAATTCCCGAAATAGCTCATCATGCATATCTCCATTATAACCAGGATGTATTTACTGCATGTCAATGAAAATTGGTAGATGTCATCTTGGGTCAGGTCGCGATCTGAAAAGACTGTGAGTAACGTGTGAATTCAAAGTCCCAGAGGTCATTCTAAAAGTATGTTTGCCATTTTTACTTGAATGCCCTTTTCTGCAAATATATTTATTATATCTTATCCATGTGGTGGTTGTATCATTTGACTACATTGATAAGTGATGACTATCAATGATATCAGTAGGTCATTGTGACCTACTTTCCATGAGAATCTTACGCTATTTTTTCGTTTTTACGTTGAATTCCTCCAAAGGACACCGTATTTGCTAGACAACCCTTGAAGATGAAGGTTAACTTCACGCTCAAGGTCATAGATTCAAAAGGTATTATAATCCTGATAACTCAAGTAGTTCTCAGTAATTAAATGGATTTTGGTCTTAATGATGGCGCATTGAATTTGTAAACCTTTGAAGGACTTTTATTGAAGGTGAAATTCACTGGAATCGTCATTTGTAAGGTAGTGCTGGATGCCCTGAACCAACCCTCTGTTTATATTAGAGTTTGTAAGAACAAGCTTCCATGCCTTCAGCAAAAAATAATCCAGCATGCTGGAATTAAGGGTAAAGGTCGTTAAGTGCAAACACCTTTCCTTGAGGTAGATGGAGGCATGGGACTTTCTGTTTTAGATCTTGCATTACACACGTGTTTTTTCTCAAGCCGGGAGTGATGTTATAAAAAGCAGGTACATTTTCTTGATAATGTAGCTAGAGGCATGGGACCTTCTGTTTTTTAGTCGTATCACATATGGCATGTTTTCCCCCCAAGTGATATCATTCAATCAAAAGTGCATACAACTTTCTTACTAACATAGTTTGGGCACAGGACTTTCTTTCTAAATGTTTTGCATTTTACATTTGCATATCATTTTCGTATTAATATTGTTAGATGCATGGGACTTTCTGTCTTAAAGTGAGTGAGTATGGTTTTACGCCGCTTTTAGCAATATTCCAGCAATATCACGGCAGGGGACACCAGAAATGGGCTTCACACATTGTATCCATGTCGGGAATCGAACACGGGTCTTCGGCGTGACGGGCGGACGCTTTAACCACTAGGCTACCTGACCGCCCCTTCAGTCTTAAAGACGTACTGCATTGGGGGCATATCAAATAGTGGACATCTCTTGTTTTCGACGTGTATTTTACCAAATCGGAAATGAAGTCCATATATCTACGTTATTAATATAGGAATTGGACTTCCTTTATCAAAGTTGCACTGCACTGGTAAACCGCAAGAGCCTATAAAGGCTCGCCTTATACATATTTTATTCACATATATGATATTTACGATTCGAAACTGCACATGGCTGATAATCTCTATTTATGTTTTGAGCGTTGAGTTTTGTTTTTGTTTGTTTGTTGTTTAACGCCGCACTCAGCAACATAGCAGCGGTCTGTAAATAATCGAGTCTGGACCAGACAATCCAGTGATTGACATCATGAACATCGATCCACGCAATTGGGATACGATGACATGCATCAACCAAGTCAGCGAGCCTGACCACCCGATCCCGTTAGTCGCCTCTTACGACAAGCATAGTCGCCTTTTAGGGCAAGTATGGGTTACTAGATACCTATTCTACATCGGATATTCACGGGTATTTGAGCTTTGAGGGCTTGAAAGAAAGCGAGTGACAAGTCAGTATTGTGTACGCCGCTTTAAGCAATATACCAGCCACACCAAGGCGGGGTTGCATGACTGGGGTTGCACATTTGTACCTACATGTATGGGAGCGAACCAAGGTCTTCAGCGTTGCGAGCGAAACCTGTAAGTGAGAAATATTGTGTTTTGCAGAAGGTCAAGGACTGAAACCAGACACGACCACAGAGCTGGTGTAGCAGATGACGTAACGGGTGTTCTGCCCGCCGCCTTGAGACTTGAAACAGGCGTTGATCAACCAAGGAGGGCGCGGTCACCGAGATGTGGCATGGGTTCAGAATGATATTACAGTGCATGGTGTGCAGAAATACATTCACCTGACGTAGATGTCAATTATTTGGCAAAGGTTTCAGGTTAATGAGCTGTGACGGGAAGTTATCCGTCTCTCCGATGAATAGGTTAGATTTGCGCTTACTAGGTTTCAGTAAGACTGTGATGGGTGTGGCTTCAGACGTTTGTTTCAGAGAGATGAGCGAGCGTTGAGGTCAGAGGCTGATCTAGGTTCGTGCTCGACTGATAGAATAGGGGTAAAATTGGAATATATAAATGCACGTTATTCATACGCTTCTTCAGAGCTCCTTCTGCACATTTGTTCTTCAATATTAATATCTCAAATTATTTGTAATATGAAACACAATTAAGTTAAACGCATCATTTTTTTTTTTTACATCGACGTGTTTTTTCCAGTATGTCGATACAATTGTGAAAATCGGTCGACGTCAAAATGATAGCCACAGTTCCAGAGTAAGAGTGGGATCGGAATTTATTGAAACCTTATTGAGTTGATCAATGTGTTGGTGTTAGTTTTAATTTAGCTACAGAGGACATGAAAGCGCAGCATCACTGAACATATGTCAGGCTAGGTGAGCTTCATATGATACTTTATGAAGGCTGTGTTCACTAGGGGCGGTTCTGGTTGTGTGTACTCCGTCGTCAAAACATTGTGAGGTGAGCGGGCTCTGAACACAAGCTCACATTTGTTAGCGGTTTTGTGTGTGTACCGCAAAAACACAGCTTCTGCAGTATACTATGACAATTATATAAATATGATAAACCTATATAATATTACAGGTGTGTGACGAGTATGCCAGGTATATAGAGAAAAGTGTACATGATGTGCTTATTTCATTGATCTATAAAAGGCTCCGCATAGACAGGTAAGTATGTCAGGCATTCTCAGGGACGACGAGGCCAGTTGTAAACAGTCAGTCGACTAAACGTGCATGTTGAACGTATGCAGCGTGTCTGTGTTTGCAATCCGTCAGTCAGAGAGACTACCAAACACAGACGCATGAACAGCTCAACACACAGAGCCGGATGCGCAGTGGGAGGCAGTGAAGGCCTGAGTTGGATTGAAGGCCGATTTGACCATTTTTTCATCACATCATGATACCGGGATGACGAGGGAGGAAAGTCCGAGCACAAGAAATATAATAAATATGGACCGGGATTCGAAACTGCCTAAAGGACGCAACTCTGCAAAGCAACATATACATATGGACATGAACCTGCATGGTATCAACCATATCTAACACGTGAACCCTCCGTGATATCTTCTTCATCCAACAGGTGAACCCTAAGTGATATCTTCTTTATCCAACTGGTGAAACCTCCGTGATATCTACTTCATCCAACAGGTGAACCCTCCGTGATATCTTCTTCATCCAACAGGTGAACCCTACGCGATATCTTCTTTATCCAACTGGTGAAACCTCCGTGATATCTACTTCATCCAACAGGTAAACCCTACGCGATATCTTCTTCATCTAACAGTGAACCCTCCGTGATATCTGCTTCATCCAACAGGTGAACCCTACGCGATATCTTCTTCATCTAACAGGTGAACCCTCCGTGATATCTACTTCATCCAACAGGTGAACCCTACGCGATATCTTCTTCATCTAACAGGTGAACCCTCCGTGATATCTACTTCATCCAACAGGTGAACCCTCCGTGATATCTACTTCATCCAACAGGTGAACCCTACGCGATATCTTCTTCATCTAACAGGTGAAACCTACGCGATATCTTCTTCATGCAATGCGTGAATCCTATGTGATATCTATTTTATCTAACAGAACCCTACGTGATATCTACTTTGTCCAACATATGTACCCTAGGTGATATCTACTTTGCCCAACAAGTAAAACCTACATGATATCTACTTTACCCAAAAGTTGAAACCTACATGATATCTACTTTACCCAAAGGAGAACTCTACATGGATCCTATTTTACCCAACAGGTGAAGCCAACATGGATCCTACTTCATCTAACATGTAAACCCTACGTGATATCTACTTTATCCAACATCTAAACCCTCCGTGATATCTACTTCATCCAACAGGTGAACCTCCGTGATATCTACTTCATCCAACAGGTGAACCCTACGAAATATCTTCTTCATCTAACAGGTGAAACCTACGCGATATCTTCTTCATGCAATGCGTGAATCCTATGTGATATCTATTTTATCTAACAGAACCCTACGTGATATCTACTTTGTCCAACATATGTACCCTAGGTGATATCTACTTTGCCCAACAAGTAAAACCTACATGATATCTACTTTACCCAAAAGGTGAAACCTACATGATATCTACTTTACCCAAAGGAGAACTCTACATGGATCCTATTTTACCCAACAGGTGAAGCCAACATGGATCCTACTTCATCTAACATGTAAACCCTACGTGATATCTACTTTATCCAACATCTAAACCCTACGTGATATCTACTTCATCCAACATCTAAACCCTACGTGATATCTACTTTATCCAACATCTAAACCCTACGTGATATCTACTTTATCCAACATCTAAACCCTACGTGTTATCTACTTTATCCAACATCTAAACCCTACGTGATATCTACTTTATCCAACATCTAATCCCTACGTGATGTCTACTTTATCCAACATCTAAACCCTACGTGATATCTACTTCATCCAACATCTAAACCCTACGTGATATCTACTTCATCCAACATCTAAACCCTACGTGATATCTACTTTATCCAACATCTAAACCCTACGTGATATCTACTTTATCCAACATCTAAACCCTACGTGATGTCTACTTTATCCAGCCAGTGAACCCTACGTGATCTGTACTTTATTCAGCTTGTGAACCCTACATGATATCTACTTTATCCTCTTTGCTCTGTTGTACCCTGTTATTACGGCAAAGTTAAGTTTATTGGAGCGGGATGAAATACGCCGACACCGTGAAGGGGCACATAGTTTCTGTACTTGGTATCTTGGTCCACGTGGTTATCTGTGTTGTGCAACCTATTTACTCTGTGCGTGCTTTACATATCTCCTTGTGCATAGGCTTTGTGTCCTTAAAGTATTGATCAATAATAGTACTTGGTCGTTTAGGCATTTACAGAATGTCGGTGACTGAGTTTGTTTTTGTTTTTTGTATCTTGGTGATCAAGCAGTATTTGCTACTGTTCTACTCCGCGCAATATCTATCAACGTACGGTGTTTCGTATTGATAAATACCGACACGAAGCAGGCTAATTTGCCAATTGCCCCTACACATTTCTCTTATTTATTAACTGTTCAAGCGTATGTGTACATTTCCTCAAATCACGTTTTGTATATTGAACCATAGACAAATATGGTATAAGAATAAAACACCCTACATTAATAGAAACTTGAGTTATGTGTAATAATAAGTCCATAGGTTTTAGAAAAAATACTGAAATTATTAAAAACAATATCCACTGTGTTTTTACATGAATCAGTATGATGACGGTGTATGGAAGCATGTAGTATGAAGCATATGTCGGGAGTTGTTAGAATCCGACTCCATATATACACACAAGTGAACACGAATGATTAACAACGTGATTATTTCATAAATAATTTACCGTACCATCATAGACACACGGGTTTTCCCGTCGGTTCCTTGACATAAATGTCAATACCCAAACATATATTTACTAACAACAATATATCCTTTTTGAAAACATATTGCATGGTACTAAACATTTATTACATTAAATAAAAAATACCTAAAGCAAAGAGAAAAAAGAAACGAATACAATTGAAAGTCTTACCATTCACAGAAGGAAAGTGGCTTGCTGCTAAACACATTATGACAACACTTATGACGTTCATGTTGTCGTCTTCAGAAGATGAAGAAATACGTCCCGGTACCGTCGAGCCCCTCCCTGCCTTCACTTTCTCAACGGAGACTGGGTTAGGTACTGACCGCTGGCTCGAGTGGTGGCGCAGTATTCTTGTACTTGAAGAGGGTATGCGATATAGGCGACTACTACTTTCTGTGGGTATGTACCAGTCCCAGGAGATACAGCTTCTACGATCTGTGATGGGGGTGGACAATGTACACCTGGATGTCTGTGGTCACATCGAAAGAACTGTCGTCAGGAGGAGGGGGTCTATAGGTTCATACGACGTGTTACTTACACGTCCTTAAGATGCGTTCACGGGACCCGCTACGTGATATACGGCTTTCTAAATCCTCTCCTGGTTCAATGAGGTCCGATCCAGATCCGACGACAGTGGCACGTGTTCTGTGACTTAGCGTGAAGGTTCTGTGCTTTTGCTTTTTGTTTCGAGGTAAAGGGGCGTATCCTAGATCCTATCCGTCTTCTGCACTCTGTAAGGCTCATTGAATTGACAGAACATTGTCAGTGGGTGGCCATCAAAAAGATCGTCTCATGAAATAGGAGGAAGTCCTTTTCAATAAATTGTTTCCTGACTAACCTGGTTCCTGCATCAATCAGACAGATCACCCGGACGCACGGTGCCTCTGATCCGAAAGGTTGCTGTCAAAGTTATAAGGATATTCAGTTGCAGGTGATCAACACTCCCAGGATTGTTTCATTCGATGGGTGGAATGTGCGCAGCTGAGAGTAACCGTAAATCTCTATAACCAGTCAATTTAACGTTATCTTGAGCCGAGTCAATAAGTTATATTCAAAGTCGTTTGTGAGGTCTCGCTATGGCGTATGTCCAACAAGTGAATTGCAATAGACTTGCCGATGATTGACAGCCGTCACTGGATGCGCCACGCCGCCGCGCATTGTCACACTCTGAACACAGGTGCGCGATCACTCGAGGCTCCGCGCGGCCGCTCACGTATGCCGTTGTAAAGTGATGCGGGACAACTATATAAAAAAATATCAACTAAACGTCCTTATATCTCAACAAGGTGACGTTGAACACATTAGCGTTGTTACTTGTGAAAATGAGCTGCCCGTGATAACTTTATGATCGCGTGTTTCTCCATTTCATATGATGCTTACATTGATGGTTAATGCCAGTGCTTAAAACGTACGTACTGGCACTTTTGATACAATGCTGGCCATGTCTATGTAGAAGTTTTCATATTCATCTCTGTTTAAGTCCGTAAGTGAGAAAGGCCTGTCCTGGAACGACACGTGTAGTGGCGGGACATCATTCCTGGATAAGTCAGTTTGCTGTCGTGTATGTAGACAAACATTTAGTCCCAGGAATAAAGTTATCTTTGCAATAAATATATATCTACAAAATAAAATAATAAAATCCAAATGGAGCTTGGAACGATGCTTAATTTCAGGAATTTGCCAAAATATTCTAGACTTGAGTTTGATTCATGTTTAATGTATTCCCGGGGACACAGACTATGTTGTATGATACAGAGGGGTGCGAATGATGTCGGTTGCATGCATCCCTTGGGGATACGATGATGGAAAAGAGGAACCTATCACAAATTCATGGTTGTAAATATTCCATAGGGTTGACAACTCAAAAGAAATGTCTACTCCATTCTCTTAAACAGATGGCCGCCAAAGGTTTCCTTCCCCGGAGTAAAAAGAATCTAGACATTGTTTGTCGCGACAACAGATGGCGAAGTTGTTCAGCAGCAAGAACATATATATTTGGTCAAACGTCAGACTGTCAGGATGTATAACAATAAACAAAGAATCATGAATAGTTTTCTTTTACAATTTGAAATTAGATACACTCAATCAATGTCAGAAAGTAAGCAAACATTATTGCTGAGATTGTTTCATCTTACGCCCGAGGACTGATTTGCAGAGTGAAGGTGAAAAAGAGGAATAGATTTCCTGCTCCGAGGCAGCGAGTGACACCTTTGCTATGCTCTCTACATGAAGAACACAAGAAACGAGCACATACAACGCTCCTTCACTTCAAACCAAAGTGTTTAGAGATTCAGTAGATGTGAGTGAGTATGGTTTTACGTAGATTTAAGCAATAAACGCCGCGGCAGGAGACACCAGAAATGGGCTCCACACACTGTACCCATGTGGGGAATCGAACCCGGGTCTTCGGCGTGACGAGCGAACGCTTTAACCACTGGGCTACCAGACCGCACCGATTCAGTAGATTACACGCTACAGGAACACAGGGGAATATTATTGTCATGGGTCTTGTCCAAACTCTGTTGTCATGGGAAACATCTTTTCAAATGGACTTTTATTTCAAGAATAGAACATATTAAAGTGAAGCCCGTAAAATCAATCAAGGTTGACGTATGAGCAATAACGTATTATGTATATGAATCTAACTTGACGAAAATAGAAATAAAATATCGAGGGTTGTCATGGACATGCATATGTACTTACGTATGCACTAAACAGATATCGAGGTCTGTCGTAGGCCGTTATGTGAAACCAGGGTTAACGTTTATAGCAAACGTACATTCGGGGCTATCATAGACCGTTATATGAAACAAGGTTTACGTATATACTACAGCAAGTAGATATCAATGGCTATCGTAGACCATTGTATGAAACTCGGTTTACGTATATACTGTAGCAAGAGGATATCGAGCTCTATCGTAGACCATTGTATGATACTCGGTTTACGTATATACTACAGCAAGAGGATATCAATGGTTTTCATAGACCGTTATATGAAACAAGGTTTACGTATATACTACAGCAAGTAGATATCAATGGCTATCGTAGACCATTGTATGAAACTCGGTTTACGTATATACTGTAGCAAGAGGATATCGAGCTCTATCGTAGACCATTGTATGATACTCGGTTTACGTATATACTACAGCAAGAGGATATCAATGGTTTTCATAGACCGTTATATGAAACAAGGTTTACGTATATACTACAGCAAGTAGATATCAATGGCTATCGTAGACCATTGTATGAAACTCGGTTTACGTATATACTGTAGCAAATGGATCTCGAGGTCTATCGTAGACCATTGTATGAAACCAGGTTTACGTATATACTACAGCAAGTAGATATCAATGGCTTTCATAGACCATTGTATGATACTCGGTTTACGTATATACTACAGCAAGAGGATATCAATGGTTTTCATAGACCGTTATATGAAACAAGGTTTACGTATATACTACAGCAAGTAGATATCAATGGCTTTCATAGACCATTGTATGAAACTCGGTTTACGTATATACTGTAGCAAGAGGATATCGAGGTCTATCGTAGACCATTGTATGAAACAAGGTTTACGTATATACTACAGCAAGTAGATAAAGAGGGCTGTCGTAGACTGTTATATGAAACTAGGTTTTAAGCCCCTAAATGCTCATTATTTTCATTAATAACTTGTATTTCTTTATGGAAGATGATGGTGGCAAAGGTATCACCTGATGGAAGTAATGTGCATGATGTCTCAGCTTTATCAGAAGGATGAAATCAGCTGCAAAAGAAAATTAATGCACTAGGGTGTTCTGTAACAGCACAGGCATGAATTTAATGAAAACCAAGGTTTTTGTCTTCAGGCAAGGTGGTCCAATACGCACTTATGAGAAGTGTCTACAAGGGTGAGTCCATCGAAGCTGTTTCTTTCTATAGGTATGTGCCCCGGCCGCGTCATACCAAAAGACGTAAAAAGATGGTACTTGTTGTTACCCTGTCTGGCGCTCGGCATTAAGGGGCTAAAACAAGGACTGGTCGGCTCGGAGTCAGTATACTGTGTCTGAGTGGGGTATTCATGTTGAACTGCGGCATGGTATCCCAGTGGGCTAGCACAATAAATCGGCATCAGTCCGGACTAGTACAAGCAGCCACGAAAAAACACACACACGTACATGCACGTCGCTATATAAGTGCAACAATCTTGGACGCGACGTTAAACCCCTTTTCACCTCACCTATAGGTATGTGGGTTTAACATTTTCGCCTAAGTCTGAGTAGGGTCCAGGCTGTTTTAGCATCTCAAGCTTGTAAAGCAATTTTAGCTCTTAACAGTTTCCAAAGAAAGCTTGGTAATATCATTTGTACTAAAGACCCTTTTTTTAAAATGTGTATTCTATGGTTACTCCCAGTTTATGCCATGGGTCAGAAGTTAAGGGCACTTCATATTGGAAAATAATAGTCCCTGTCCCTTTATAAGCATGTTCTAAAAGTATACACATGCACAATGTTCAATATGGTTTTAGATGAGTGTGGAGTGTATCCCCTACAGGATGTTTACAAGACGAGAGCTATCAAATAATGGTAAAGACTCTTACGTCTTACATCTGCTAGACTGCCATTTCAGTGTTGCATAACGCTTAAGGGTCTAGATGATAGTGGGAAAACAACATGGGTCACCAAAGTTAACAACATTTCATTTGGTTTTGGCTCTGTCCGGTTTAGCCAGGATGTTGGTGATGTTAAAGTATCCATGTGTCTAATTAAACAAAGACTTAAAGAAACTTTACAACCATTGTAGTTTTCTTCCCTTGATTCTTCTCCCAAATGTATTCTGTATAAACAAAGTAAATCTCTGTTAAATGTCGAAACATATCTATATTATAATGTTCCAGTACATCCAGGTTTAGATGTTCCATCTTTAACCCGCCGTGATATTGCTGGAATATTGCTAAAAGCGGCGTAAAACCATACTCACTCTCTCCATCTTTATAATTGATCCAGAAACTGCCAGATATCCAAATACTGAACGCAACCTTAGAATTTGTACCTATAGCAAAAACAAAGGTGTTTATGTTATTTAAGACGAGTACCACGTGTTTCTCATATTACGCTTGTCATTCCATGTTTAGGTAAATCTTTCTTTCAAAATAATACTAAGAAATATGTGTCCTATGAAATGACCGTTTCATGCGTGTATTATGGGCCTCAGGTCTTTTATTGAATGAACCTGTCTGTCTCTCTGTATGAAACTAGGTTGACGTTTATACTGCTACAAGTGGACATCGAGGACTATCGTTGACTGTAATAAGGTGGCAACGACCTATTCAACACCCTGCCACTCCTTGAGTCAGGTTGGAAATTGTTTACCTGCCATGAATATTGTATTGACATTAACTCCGCAAATACATGTTATTATAAACACATTCCCAGACACCCGGATGGGAATTTTAAAACTGCATGTTCATTTTGCTTTAGGGTGTAGTTTTTAAAATCTATTCGAGTATTGCTTACTAAACTCGCAAAGTGCTGATTGCATGCCCTAGCGTCTGTCCCATGCTTTGATCCCAAATAGAACGTGATTAAATTACCTGTAGGTGAGGTTTACACCTTGACATTTAGATGCTATTACACACGTCAATCAGTTCATTCTTAAAAAGTTATTTCATATGTAATATTTTGATTTAAAAGGTCTTCATGGTCGCATGGTTCTTTAAACGAATAATGAAACATATATATGACTGTGCGTTTAATTCTTTATTTTTATATTCTCATGTCGCGATACAACTGCAGGCTTGGTTGAAATTCAAACCAAAGGGGGCGGTCGGGTGGCCTAATGGTTAAAGCGTTCGCTCGTCACGCCGAAGACCCGGGTTCGATTCCCGACATGGGCACAATGTGTGAAGCCCATTTCTGGTGTCACCCGCCGTGATTTTGCTTGAATATTGCTAAAAGCAGCGTAAAACCATACTCACTCACTTCAAACCAAAGTCTTCAATTGAAATATGTGCTATAGGTGGAGAAACAGTTGCCTCCTGTCTCGGCTATGTCACAACTAACTATGACCACGTGGGGGTGGGGGGTCGGGGGGTGGGGGGGTGGGGTGGGGTGGGGTGGGCATTTATATACTCACCGCAAAATGAAACGCGAACACCATATGTTGGATGATATGTGAAAACTTACTTATAT